GGCAATATTGYGAAACGATTTTTGGTCTTTTTTCATTTTATTTCATACACATTTGTAGAGGAAAAGAGCAGCGTATAGGTCGGCGGTCGACGTGTAAAAGTCCAGAGGCCAGTAATAAAGAACGATAAAGGGGGAATAAAAAATAGATTAGTAAGTGAGGCACGTTTTGCATTAAGGCTGGCAGTGCACCCCGTGTAGCAGGGGTTACCGGGGTGGTATATACGTACACGCACGTGGAGAGAGGTAACCGCCGTCATCCCGTCGCCATCACCGCCGCAGGCCCCTAAGCTACTTCTCGCCATCTGGCATATGTGTGTATAGATATTAGTGTACGTGTGTGTGTGTGTGTATACGTCTTATCGGAATGCCGCGCACACGTCTCTCTATACGGTTTCTGACCTTAGGAAAGGGGAAAAAAAGAAAGAGAATATATATATATATATGTAATATATATTACACATCGCTAATCTTTATTGCTAACAGTGCTTACACTGTCGATATGTAATATTAATTATTTTCCTAACGACACATTTTGTCTCAATATCACCTCTCCGGTATATATACATGTATACATGTATTATTTACGAGTACCACCTGTCCGTGTACTGCTGCATTGCAGCGTAATATCATCACGCTCTCTTATTATTGTATAGAAAACTAACATAACCATGTCTCACTCGTAGTTAGCGTCTGTATTTAGTATATATTTATATATTTATGCACATAATATTATATATTATAAACACGTTATAGTGACGAAGATATTTACTCTAAAAGCGCCAAAAACAATAACACACTCGTGACAACATTTTAAAAGTCGCATAATATTATAATAAAATTAAAAACTAGTAAGTTATTGCGTAAAAAACTTGTGTATTTATAATTGTCATGATAATAAATAGGATATTTTTTATATTGGCAGTAGCCCTGTGTGCATTAATATGATTTTGATATCCCAGCGATTGTATTTATAAGTCTCAAATGTGACATCACATAACTACTACTATGTGATTTCCAATAGATGTTATGAAAAAAAGTGTTTAAA